CATCAACCTTTTGAGGGGATTGCGTGTCTTTTTCTCTCATCCAGCGAGGATTTTCCGTTGACCAGTAGCGGCAATTTTGCCGATTAGCATGACCATTAAGAGACAAAGGACACTCATAAGAAAACATAACGTCTTCTAATTGGATGATATTGTTATCCAACATGTCCATCTTTTGCTCATAAAAATAAGTTCTTCTATAAAAATTGTCTTCCATGAGCTCCAGAGTAGGTATCATTTTATAGGGATGCATTTTATTTTTGATTCAATATGTTTACTATCACTAACACTAACACTAAATGTAGTGGATGCCTGTCTACTTGATGTATGTGGGTTTTCCTCAAACTCAAGCATTACATCTAATTTGAATTCATCACTCATTGCATTGGCAGCTGTTTTTTTCATCTGCCCCATATGATCAAGCTCGCGAAATTGCTTTTCAATTTTGCTTATTGTTCCTTGAGATATGGGCGGTGTTTTTAATGTTCGAATATATCGTGGACTGTATAATTTGTTTTGATGAAATTTTTGTCTGTAAATGAATAAACGTCTTTATTGAATGACAATTGCTTGTACACTACTGTATACATTAATATTCAAATCGACCATCTTATCTACCTCACAAATACACTACACAGCAGTCACCTCACAGGGTTGCCGGTTGAAACGAAAGTAATGAGAATTGTCATTTAACATGAGTTTTAACAGGCGGTAACTCACGAAATTTCTCATGAAATAGGCCAGCTACTTCCTGTTCTGTTAGGGTTTTATCTCCGTAACCAATCATTTGTAAAACTATTATTTTATGCATTTTCGTTAATCAAACTATTTGTCAGACTTGAAGTTAACAAACTTTAGACTTAAATTAAAATACTGACAAATAATGTTGTAACATACGAAACAAGTTGACAAGGCGTTTTGAACTGACGTTGCTACGGAAATTATTCACAGGTTTTTAAAGGATAACATGTAAAGAACATCGCTATGATCTTATTATCAATACTCCAGCATGAAATAAGTTTTGAGTATATTGCAATAAGTTTTTACTGTATTTTATCGAATTTCGGTAACCACATGATTTCAATTTATTTTATCTCAATTGTTGCAGAACACTTGAAAGCGTTAACATTTTTGAATAGAGAGTAAAGAGACCTTTCAAACGATATATAACAAGCCTATACTTCCCATTTGAAAAATTGGGGGTTGTACCTGTCATTCACGGCGGTTGAAGGCAGGTGTAGCATTTTTCCTTTATGGTATGTCAAATTATAATTTAAATTCGACGTGTTTCAGGATTTTCTTAAAATATATACCGTAACCGAAATAATGAATTTATTCCATTTAGCTTTAACACACTGTATATGTTTTAATGTATTTTATATTAATATTTTCAATTAGTATTCGATAATTTTTTTCACTTCTAAATCATAGACACACGTTACCCCGTGTAATGAACTATTAGTTTCAGAAAATCCTTTATATCACCTACAAGCTTGTTAATCTCAGTTCTATATGATTATTTCAATGGCAAAACTGTAGAGTACGTTTCATTCCATTCCAAATACAACTGATCAATAAGATTACACTCAGCAAAGTATTCAAAAAGTCGAATATCAATCGAAGTCTGAAACTTTAATTGGTAATATTTCCCGATATTTCCACTTCACCTGGGCAAAGTCATCACAACTTGACTTTTTATTCCTTTTTTCGTCTTTTCCAGTCTCGGTCTATTGAACCAATCATTTCATTTATGAAAGCTCTTCGAAATTCTAAGGGTAATATCTCATGCGAACTGAAACATTTTGTTGTTTCATATTAATATGAAATTGAGTATATTCCCAGTTGGAAAGTAATTTCCAGCGAATGTATGGAAGAAAGCTCTCGACAAAGGAACAGGATCAAAAGTGTAAACGAAGCTGAAGGAAGCCTGTACAAGGGTTCGCTTATCGTCATTATTTTTAATGATCGCGGGAGTTTAATTGGGTGTTTATGGGCGTAATTGACTTGTTTTTTGCTAATTATTGGAAGTTTATGTTCAGAAACAAACTACAGACGGCTTTTTCGAAACTGCCCGGCGAAAATAAGTAAAAGAAAATACTTGCTGTAATTAATTGAGCAATCTTGTTGTAATGGAATCCGGAAAAGTCGATAACACGACTAATTTTATTAGTGTAGTTTCAATAGTTTAAATATTGTAACAAATTAAAGAATTAACTGTCTTAAACAAATTTATTTCTAACAATATTTCACTATCACAAACTAATTTATATTCAGCACTTAGCAACTAACGTTTAATTTATCTCTACTATTTGAATTACTTGTTTAACTGCTCGATTCGCTTTCTAAACTCAACTGCCCTCTTGGGACAAAAAGCCGGCCTTATATATCGGTAACGATCGTTCTAGAATTCTGTAGTCGTTTCGGTACTCGACTAGAGTTCAATCGGCGATTACCGACTGTATTTCTTTTGCGGTGATGTCATATGTTTGTTCGTTATAGCAATTGATATTCCAGGAATATTTCATGAATATACATTTAATGCTATGCTATGAATATGCCACGGATATATATATTCTGGAGAATATTCCCTGGAAGTGCTCCTGACGAACCTTTGATACATTCTGAGAATATTCCTGGGGAATATTTTTGGAATATCTTGAAATATTCTCAGAATATATTAGGTGAATTCTATTAAGAATATTCCAGGAATAGAACCCAAGGAATATTCATAAAATATTCGAGATTTCTAAGTTTATTGTAGGAATATAAAAAAAGGAATCACCATAGAATATTCTTCAAATATATTTAATGAATATTCTAGGAATATTTGGAATATTCCAAGAATGTAATGAGTAAATGCTATTAGGCATATTGGATGTCTAAAAATAGTTGCATTTTGATGCGAAATCCACACAAGTAATAAGACACATAATATTCATAAATAAATATATTCCAAGAACAATACACACTGAAATATTCAACTAAAAACACTACCAATATTGAAAATAAAAATTCTAATTAGAGATATTTATTCACTGAATAAAATATTCCTGAATATTTTCATGTTACAAATATTAAAAATGTATTCAAATTTGGATGTTCCTTCTCCCAAAAAAATGTATACTGAAATAACAATTCTGTGAATTCATCAGCACTAATTGAAAAATAATAAATATATCATTTCATTGAAAAAGAAAAAATGTATTACATGAAGAAATGAAAACTAAACCCACAAATAAAGTATTTTAAATGATGGATCCTTCAATGAATTTCACTTACTTAAAGTTATCCAAACTTTGCTCACCAGAAAAGTTGTCCAACAATGCATCAGCCAGTCGTTCATTATTGATACCTGGAACGCATTATCACTATTTAAAAGTGCAAAATAAAATTGGAATGAAAATCAAATAGATATTTTTCTCATAGGTTCCTCATGAACATATAGAACTTTTTATGACCTGGAGAGCAGCTTGCATTCCTGTTGTTGGAAAGTAGTCATTACTTTTTCAGTTTCTTGGCCAGATACCACTCCTTTTCTTTTTTGGGCATATTGATACTATCTTGAAAAATAATTATAAAAATTATGAAAACAAATGACACAAAAGAATGTGTCATGCACTTACTTCTCTCTACTGAAGATACACAACTGAAATCACTATAGTTCAAACATGTACTTAGTCAAACCAACAAATCTCACACACCAACTTTCCTCGGGCCTAAAATAAGGTATTGTAGGCTAAACACCATGACTTTATTATCGATACTATTGTCTTTCACTTACATTTCTCAAAGACTGAATATGTAACTCTACTGTTTGAAGATGCAAAAGCAAACTATTCGCTGTACTGCAAATTGGACAGCCTCAAACTATAAATGGTACACTAAACATGAGAAAATGATACTTCAATAATAACGCCGATGCCAACCGCCATGTTGAACCAATTGTCGATTTCAAAGCAAAGCTGTCAAGCGTTAAGGGGCAGCCGCACTCACAGAGCTTCGACTGTCGCGCGCTACACTTCAATTGACCAATGAGAAACATTCACTCCAATACTCTACTTCCCCATTTCTCTGTTGTCAGGATTTGTTGCATTGTAACTGAATAATTTAAAATACAAAAAGAAAAATGGGATGAGAATAAACCGATTTATTAATGCAATTGATCCATTTATTAAATTCGAAATTCCAGTAATATAGAATATTTCGAAATATATTCTAAAAATATACCAATTGGTAAATTCCATCGACAATATTCTTAGAATATTCATGTAAATAAAATCTTCAAAAAGTTTAGTTTTTAATAATATCGAATTATTTGAATACGTTATAATAAGATAATTCGAAATTCCAGTAATATAGAATATTTCGAAATATATTCTAAAAATATACCAATTGGTAAATTCCATCGACAATATTCTTAGAATATTCATGGGAGAATAATCCATTTATAGACATTCTATGCACATTCTTTCGGTAATAATCCTGCCATATTCATTCAAGCATATTCTATGAATATTCTAAAGGCATGTATATATTCCAAGAATATTCTGTGAATATTTGGAATATATACGTTACTTTTATGATATAGAGGGAATATTCCATGAATATCTGGTGCTGTGTGGGAAAGGGGGACAAACTTCAATCACAAAATTTAAAACAAACAAACAGGGCAAGCTAAGTAAAACCGTTTAAAAATAACAGAAAAAACGGCAATGTCAATTTAACTAGGATGTGGTTGAAGATACTCTGTGGAAAATTGAAACTAGGAAAAGTAACAATCCACTCAGGCCCCAGATTTCGTAATTTTCAATTTCGACTATGAATAAATTGAGGTTTTATTTATGAATCCAATAATTTTCAATATGTTCCATTCCATTACATTTTCCGTTCTTTTGAGTGAACTGACTGCTCGATTTCTTTTTCAGGACAGTGGAAACAAGAAGAAACTTCACCATCAAAAATATTCAAAAATCAATAAACCCCAATTTAGTTACACGAAAGCTAAAATAGACCAATCTACATATGCTTAAGAATTTCTCACAATCCACCACGAAATCGACGTAAATTCAATCAATAGCATTTCAATATATATCAGCCCGTCCTTCGTTCAAAAACATTTTAATGTTATGTCACTCACAGTGACGACTATCGACCGAAGCGAGCAGAATCGCAAAAAAATTAATGAAACTGCTGATTGTTCAGAATAAAATTGTCGGGTACGAAACTGCTCCCCATTCAATAAACTTTTAATTGAAAATGTTAATAGGACCTTGGCTCGTGTAGTTGAAGTACACACCTGCCACCAAACACCAATGAGTAACAACGGAACGACGATGTCCGACTACGAGCGAATTCGCTTAGTTATCTTAGGAGGCCCTGGCGTGGGCAAAAGCTCGATCGTCAAGAGGTTCCTTTCGAACACATATACCAGTAAATACAAAAGCACCATCGAGGATTTGTACAACAGGGAGTATGACCTGGGGCATATGACTTTAAAAGTTGATATTCTGGACACCGCAGGAGATATGCAGTTTCCCGCTATGAGGAGGCTCTGTATAGCTACTGCCCATGCCTTTCTTTTAGTGTACGCTGTGACTTCGGCTCCTTCGTTGGACTGTATCAAGCAATGCTTCGAAGAAATTAGGGAACAACGGGGAGATTTTCAGGACATTCCCATAGTAGTAGCAGGAAATAAATTGGACTTGACGTCGACGCATCGAGAAATTCCCATTGAGGATGTGTCGGAGTGGGTTTACTGTGAACTTCCAAAATTGAGGTGAGTGATAAAGAGAGAAAGATTGATATAATATGAGATATTTCCCCGATCCTTATTATTTTTACCAATTTATCGAAATCTTCCAGAAAGCTATTTCAAAAAAAACCTCCTGGATAATACTTTTTTTACGCCAGAACAAAAACTTTTCCCTCGAAGCACGTTTCACTAACCAAGTAACCATCATCAGGAAATGGCTGAAACTAAATCTTAGGGCTATGTTAATGTCTTAGTATACATGACGACGAATTCATTATCTTATATTGTTATTATTTCTAATGGTATCAACTACTGCATGTTTTGATACTTTTAATTTACCTTTTCTCTATCTGTAATTATTGCATGAAAGAGTAAGAGTTTGGAATGGAATCTTTGTCACTGACCATAGATGTTATTCCACATTTTCTCAATTCTAAACTTCCGAAGGCATCTCAAAAGCTATTGTCAAGTATCGATTACAAGAGTTTAAAACATTCATCACTTACTATGTGGCCATTTTCAAGAAAATGTTGAAGCGACACAAGTCTTATCTGGTCTATGGAAGCGAATATGTAACATATGTTCCTTGTGTAATTGTCCGCTTAGTTTGACCAACATTCTTTATGTCGCAATCCTCCTGAATTTTGCTAAACATGCTGTGAGTATTGCGATAATAGATATGTTGGTCAAATTGAGCGGACTGTAATAGTTCGTTACAAAGAACATGTTTGACATATTCGTTTTCATAGAGCACAGAAATCTAATGTTGCTCATTATGCCTGAAGAACAGCCACAGAATGAGTGAAAAATATGACTACGTGACAAGTTTTTAGATGCTTTCGAAAGTTTAGAAATAGTTAAGTTAATAAATAGAAGAAAATATCAGCAACATCAAGTGTATACCGTATCCCTTGTAGTTGTGGATCTGTCTAAACTAGAACCATATGAAAAGAGGTGTAAGTCCCGGTTTTCAGAACACCACATAATGATTATAATCATTCTCATTGAAGTGAAGTGAAGTGAATAACTCCGTGGCAAGTATCAGCACACTATCTGGTCATCGAAACTGTCGGGAAAAAACGAAGTCGCTGATGTTAATATGCCTGCTGTTCCCATTTTACTCTACATGTTTCAGTAGTGTAATGGGTCCGAGAAGAGCTGTATCAATCCGACGTAAAGACCCGAAAAGTGATGCAACTTTACAGGTATTGGCATACCGTTCCACGGTTGTACTTCCCACGAAACCATAAGGAGTCCGTGGACTCCTCAGGCTCATACAAGATAATGAGGCTGATATAGCTCTTCTCGACTATCAGAGCCAGGCGATATTTGTCGTGGAGTTTTCAGCACCTGAGGAGGGAGAACGGATAAAATAATAATAATAATAATTTATTCACAGCAATATAGGGTACAAATTGTGAATAAAGTAATACCACGGAAGCAGTACTGCTTGTGTGTGGATATACATACATATATGAGGCTAATTTAAAGTAATATAACAATATAAACATTCAGAGTAATATTAGAGGTCAAAATATAAAAAAAAAATCTAAAATTAATTTATATGTAGAATGTATATACATGTTTAAGTTACAATATAAAAATAACTATTAAAATCTAAAAATTTATATATAAATTCTAGGAATGGTGAAGAACTTGGTAATTATTAAAGGTATCATAAGCATATTTGAAGTTGAAAATAACAATATACAATATGGCTGGTGAAGGATAAAGAACGAATATAAAAGAATTTATGATATTATTACGCTTAAATAAATGTGTATATGTGAGAATAGTATCTATATGTATTGAAAATGTAATTTTTTCATCATGGGAAATTATGGTGAACAATCAATATAGTAGTTATTTTTTTTCAGTTTTCAATTAGTGCACGAGTCTCATATCGATCAGATTGTTTCGTGAAGAGTTTAATTCCTTTCTTGAATCTGAATTTGAAAGCCCCGCTTTTCAATTCTTTAGGAAGTATATTAAATGCCTTTGGAGCTAGGACTCTGTAACAGTTTTGACCAATTGATTTGGATGCGAGAAGTTACCAATTTGCCGCCTTGTATAAGCATGAGATGGTTTCTGGAGTTCATCTACACTTTTATGGTATTCTGAATGATCTCTTTGGATGTGTTCTAGTTTTCTTACTCCAGAGAAAACAATTTGAAGAAGGATCGTGAAGTGATCAGTTATGGAAGTTTGTATTGTCATTGGGAGAATGGTGTAGTTATGCTAATAAAAAATAATTGTCTCAGATCAAACAAATTAGACTCTTCATAAAGAGTGTCGCTTGAATATCTATTATTTCTGTCTAGAATCATTCTCAAAAAACGTTTTTGTGCCACTTCAAGATGTTTGAGGTGACTTTTAGAGACTCCTCCCCGTCCTATAATCCCGTTGTTCAAATGAGATTCTACTAAACTCATATATATAATTTTAAGTTGTTTTGTATCGAATATTCCTGAAAGTTTTTTGAATCTGTACAAAATGCATCGGAGTTTTTTTTACCAGATATTCTATTCCATTTTAAATGTCTATCAATTATGATTCCAAGGTATTTGATTTCATCGGCTGAGAGTGTGGTTTATCATCCAATGTAATTTGATTGAAATGCGAAAGACCTGTTTTGTTGCTGCAAAAAGGTAGGTTTTCTTTAGGTTTATCGAAAGCAGTCTATGATTCAGCCATTTTATAATGTGAGAAAAGTTATTTTCAATTTTTTTCTTCAATTTTCGCCAGGTTTCGTCTTTGTATATAATGACAGTATCATCTGCGAAACTTATTATTTCACAGTCTCCTTCTCTGAAGAAGATATTGTTCACATATATTATGAAGAGAATTGGCCCCAACACCGTGCCTTGAGGTACACCACATGTAATAGATTTTCCTTCACTGATGTGGTTTCGTACTTTAACTCGCTGTGTTCTGCCAGTCAAGTATGACGTCATTAGACTATGTGCTGTACCACGTACACCCACGTCTTCTAAGACTTCTAGGAGAACTGAGTGATCGATAGTGTCGAAGGCTTTTGCCAAGTCTATAAAATCTCCTGTTGTTGGTTTCTTTGTATCAATTGCAAAGTAAATTTTTGTTCTTAATGCCCTAATAGCTTCTTGTGTCGATTTTCCTTCTCTAAAACCAAATTGCAATGCTGATAGAATATTGTGTTTTTTAAAAAATGAATTTAATCTTTTCTTTATTATTTTCTCAATTATTTTGCTGTAGTTAGATATCAGCGCAATAGACATTTTGGTTTTATTGCCATTTTTGTATATTGTTATGACTGTAGATGATTCAAGTATAGAAGGAAAGATACCACTATCAAATGAATTATTGATGATATGGACAAGAGGAGGACAATAATTTTCAGTTTTTCTGCTTTGAAGCCATCAGGTCCCGCCCATTTCTGTTCTTCAGTTGCGAAATCATGTATTTGACTTCTGTATCATCAGTTGAAAATAGAAAAAGTGATGCATTATTGTTTTCTTTATTTTCTTCATATCCATCAATCTTTTTATTTTTTTATGGCTAATTCTGGTCCGACATTGGTGTGATGATCATTAAAGTTATTTGCTATGTCCAATGGGTCATTTGATACATATTCATCATTCAATTTGATACAATTTATGTCTGTTGAGATGGGACTTGCGATTATTTCATTGACAGTTTTCCACAATACCTTTGAGTTCTCTTTGTTTGCCTGAATTTTATTTTTGTAAAAGTCTATTTTTGTTTTTTTAATAAGTTTGTCTAGACTTTTTTTATATTCTGTGTACTCTAACTGAAGTGTTTTATTATTTGGATCTTTTTTCAATTTGTGATAAATTTTTTTTTATTCGTCGATTTTACTAGTGATTTGGTTATCCAATATTTACGTTTTCTCTCTTTTCCTTCGATTTTTATATATCTAGTAGACATTTCCCCTGCATCCTGTACAAAACTAATGAACTTTTCGGTCGCCACTTGAGGTTCTATTGCTTCGAAGACTTCTTTCCATTCTACTTTTTCCATATTTTGTATTAATATTTTGTCATCTACACTTTTATGGTATTCTGAATGATCTCTTTGGATGTGTTCTAGTTTTCTTACTCCAAAGAAAACAATTTGGAGTAGGATCGTGAAGTGATCAGTTATGCAAGTTTGTATTGTCATTGGGAGAATGGTGTCATAAGTGTTGTTTTTAGCATGTATGAAAATGTGATCTAGACAAGTAATAGATTGTTTCTGACATCGCGTAGGTGCATTTATAGCTGAATTAAATCCGTATATTGCTATATTCTCCACAAACCATACAGATCTTGGTGGAATAATGCCCTCTATACTCTCGAATCTCAAAATCATGCTGGTTTACCCGAACAAATATAAAAGGCTGTCATTCTTCGCTCACGGCGCTTGCTTGAGGCACATGATTATCGGACTCAATGATCATATTCTTCGCCCTGTGGGGAGAGGTTATTGGGTGATAGTGCTGGGGCACCTTTGGGAAATAGGGCCCGACCAACGCAACCGTAGGAAAACATTTTTTTCAATGATAATAATAACAATAATAATGTTTGTCATTATTCTTCAAATGCTGAATTACCTACTACGAATTATTAACGCTATAATTTTCGTTATGTATAAAAGAAAAATGAAACATGAGACATTTAGAACGAATATGCTTTGAGGAGACACAGAAAATCAGAGTGCGCAGAGATATAAATGAACGTTATACAGCGTGTTTCACGGTCGATGGTATGTTAGACGTTTCTGGAAAACGCAAAGCATGATTTTTCTGAAAATTTCACCTCTCACATTTCCTCACCTGTTCTATCGATCTAAAATATTTTCAGCATTGCGGCGTTGCCACTTCTATCAAAAAGTCCTAGCAATTATATTTTTTTAAATGGAACACCCCGTATATTAATACATTTTTGTTAATAATGTTATATACCTATCTCTATCTGTTTTCGAGATAAAAAATAAATTGTGCTAAATATGGTCCAAAACATAGCCTTAATTGAAATTAAGTACATCAG